GGTAACTGTCCTCTCCTCAGAAATAGGCAGAGCATTAATGTTGTTGCTCTGCTACTACCAGCGAAGCTAGATTTTTTTTTGTTTTCATTATACGGATTGTAATGAAATGTAACATTCTCATTTTTATCTCGTTCGAGTTATCAACTTTGTAATCATTCTACTCATGTATGATGACTCTCCATGCATGTCACTCTTTTCTTTTCTTATTATCGATACATATGATTGCATTTCCTGCTCTCTCTGTCTCTATCGCTGACATAAATATAAATATATGCATGTAAGCATATTAGATTATATTATAATGTTAAAAGATCCTAAATAATGTGAATATTCTCATCTTACAGATATTCTTGTATTCAACTTTGTCGCATAGCCTTTTTTATGGCAAGAGAAATCAGTGCTTAGAAAGGATTTAAGTCTCCTAGAAGACTTCGAGCCTTTTACTAATAATCGAATTTTGTTAGAAAAAAAGGGCCAAGCTTAACTCTAAAACTTTCTTCTGGTTAAATCACAATATTGCTGATATATTAGTTAAGAGCGTCGATTCTTCATGTATTCATCAGCTTTATTCCTCGTCGTACTACTATATTCTTGATTCCATTATTTTTTTTTTCTATAAAACGTTAGAACAACTGATAATGATGCTTATAAAAATTAAAGAAAAAATTTAATAGCCCAGAAACTATTATTATCGTTTTTCTTTATTTTCTTGTAATTATTCAATCACCACAGAAGAACTCTGAAGTTTGTATAGGAAAAAATTCTGTTCTTTTTCCTATTGTTTTTTTGCACTCTATTACTCTCTTATTCCAGAAAAAACAAAAAACAACTCTATTTATGGTATATATGAGTATTCCATTGGCAGAAAATATCAGACTTGATAAGCATAATACTTTTCTTCAAGAAAGAAAGAAAGAGGAAAATAAGGAAACAATAATAAGACGAAAGATGCTTTGTTTTAGTGAAATCAATATTACCAGAAACAGCATCAATACTTGATGCTCGTCTTTTACCACCTAGTGAACAACAAATATGTCTATTACGAAAAGTACTTGCAGCTGGTATGGTCGATCGTTTGGCCAAGTAAATTCATATATTTTATTTTTGTTTGATTCAATTTTGACCGTTTGTTTTTTAATAGACGAATAGAAGGATCTGTTGTGATTAATGGTCATAAAGCAAATAATGCTTATCAGGTTGTTTAGATACAAAAAAAAAAACATATGTACAATATAAATAAAATGAATACTTTATATTTAGACTCTTCTACTCGATGAACCGGTATTTATTCATCCATCATCAGTCCTTATTAATGATTTACCATCATTTGTTTGTTATCAAGAAGTACATGAAACAAATCGAATATTTATTAAAGGTATTGTTTTTTTTTTCCTAGAAACAAAAAAAATTGTTAGCACAGATTGTATAAGGTTAAAATATCAAACTCATATGTTTTCTTTAACCTCATTATACTAATACAAAATACTTTGTCAAGTAAAAATTTTCTAACAGACTATAGAATGTTTTCCAAGGATAATCAAATGCTAAGAAAACGCTAACTGACGTTCTAGTTTTTGTTTGTTTTGTAGTTAATTTTCTTAATTCAATATTAATATTATTCTAATCATTGATTTAACTAGTAAATGAGTTTGTAGTACTTTCAGTCTGAGTCTACTTATCAATTCATTTTAGCATCTTTTTAGGTTACCAAGAAACTCTGGCAAACGAGTCTGATGCCTCTAGCTCTTGTTTCCATTACTATATTTTCCCTTTGAAAAAACAGTATATGAGTTCCATTAAAAAAAAGAATCAGTCGAAGTTGAACATACCCACCTTTCATTTAACTTCGATTTTTACAAAGGCTATTTTGTTTCTGCATAAATTCTTTTAGCATCGACATATGTGAAAGTGTTGACTCTATTATTTTGATGATTAATTAAAAAGTAATTAGCGAATATCTTTCTAATCATATGACAACCTCTTCGAAGACCTCAAAACAGACTTAACAGCAGGAACTGCATCAATAGTGAAATTTTCGAGTTCGAAAAACTTTCTCTTAAAAATCAGTTTTCCTAAAATCCTATCAAGATTCATATGAGATGCATATATATTTTAATCTTGTGAAGTTAAATTGCGAATCAATAAATTTGTATATGTATTTAGATATTTGTGCTATTCAAATGGATTGGATAGTTCAATTAAATCCACATTTATGTTCATTTGGTCCTATTGAAGATGAACCATCACCACGTTATGATGAAAATCAAGATAAAATGCTTTGTCATCGTAAAGCAACTATAGGTCAACGAGTATCATGGTCACTTGGTTCACCTATTGAAACAATATTTCCAATAAATACAATTGATCGTTATCGTTGGTTTGGAAAATATTTTCTTGATGGTATTATTTGTCAACGTCTATTACAATATCAACCAGCTTTATTATGTTCATCAAATGCAATGGTTAAATCATGGGCATCACTTATGGAACGAACACAATTATTTCTTAATGCATTAGTAGAAAAAGAAATTGATAATCGAAAACAATTAAAAGATATTTGGTCAACAGAACCAAAATGTAAGAAAATTAATTCAATGATTAATTGAATTTACTTTCTTTTATAGATCTACTTGATGTTTATTGTAATTGGTTACCGGAATCATTACATGTACAAGTTAGATCTATATGGCCACCTATGCCATTTGTTTTGAAAAAATAGAAATTTTACATACAAACCGTGTTTTTTTTTGTTTTTCGTATGTAAAAATTCGTTCTAAGAATTTTTGTTTTTAAATTTACAAAAAAAAATCTAAAACTGATAGTATAACTGTTATGTTTGTTTGTTTAAACAATTCTAAACATTATAGATAAATATAAGTGAATCTCAAAGATAAAAAAAATGCCTCGTATTGATAATGATATTAAACTTGATTTTAAAGATGTTTTAATACGACCAAAACGTTCAACATTAAAAAGTCGTGCTGATGTTGATTTAACACGTGAATTTATATTTCGTCATAGTAAAAAAATTTATGATGGTATACCAATTATTGCATCAAATATGGATACAGTTGGAACATTTGAAATGGCAATACAATTATCAAAAGTTAGTTCATTGACAACAAAAACAAAATTAAATCTTTTATTTTTTTAGTTAAAATTATTTACAACAGTTCATAAACATTATACAGTTGATGAATGGAAAGTATTTGCTACGGAAAACAATGGAATACTTCAAGTAAAAATTTCCCCTCTCCCCTACCAAAAAATATATATTTTTTTTTGTTTTGTATATTAAATATTTTAGAATGTAGCAATTTCAACTGGTATGACAGAAAATGATTTTAAAAAATTACGGTAAATTTCATAGTTATAAATAATAAATTATCTTTTGTTTTGTTTTGTTTTCAGTGATATTATAAATGCTATACCAGAACTTGATTATATATGTGTTGATGTAGCAAATGGTTATTCAGAACATTTTGTTGAATTTGTTCGACTTGTTCGAAAAGAATTTCCTAATAAAACAATATTTGTATAACGAGTTTTTATTTTAAAATTATTTTGAACATTATTTTTCTTTTTGTTCAATTAGGCAGGAAATGTTGTTACTGGTGAAATGGTTGAAGAACTTATTCTAAGTGGTGCCGATATTGTTAAATGTGGAATTGGACCAGGTTTAGTAAAATTCTTTTTTTTTGATTTTATTATACATTTAAAATATACAGAATGTTCGAAATGCTAGTTTTTCCTTTCAAAAAAAATATATTAACTTTAATATATTATTTTTTTTTTCGAACGAATTTTTAAGATATTCTATATTTGTATAGGTAGTGTATGTACAACTCGTTTGAAAACGGGTGTTGGTTATCCACAATTATCATGTATTCTTGAATGTGCTGATGCTGCTCATGGTCTTGGTGGACATATTGTTAGCGTAAGTTTTTATTCTAGAATAATGAAATATTAAATTTATTGAATTATTATAGGACGGTGGTTGTACAAGTCCCGGTGATGTTGCTAAAGCATTTGGGGCTGGTAAGTACAAATGAATAATATTGATCAAAAAATACAAAATTGAATTATTGTCATTCGGTTTATTGGTATATATACTATAGCCGAAGCTAATCCTTCTGAGATTTCTTTTTTTTATATTTCATTGGGATATATCTTATACATTGAGTTCGAATTTAAAAAAATGTGCTTTGATTAGGTGCTGACTTTGTTATGCTTGGTGGTATGTTAGCTGGACATGATGAAAGTGGTACTGGTGAAATAATTGAACGTAATGGACGTAAATATAAACTTTTTTATGGAATGTCATCAAAAACTGCTATGGATAAACATGTAAGAAATTTATTTATTTATTTATTTATTAAAATTATTCTCTTGATAAATAGTCAGGTGGTGTTGCAGAATATCGAGCATCGGAAGGTAAAACAGTTGAAGTACCTTATCGTGGTTCTGTTATTGGTACTGCACAAGATATATTAGGTAAGAATGTATGTCAGTTCTATACAAATAGAATATTTTTTTTTTAATTGATAGGTGGTGTTCGTAGTTGTTGTACTTATGTGGGTGCTGGTAAATTAAAAGAACTAAGTCGACGAACAACATTTATTCGTGTCAGGTATTTAATTTTGTCATTTTTTTTTTTGTATTCTTGAACTTATTTTCTATTGTTTTTTTAGTCAACAATTGAACGAAATATTTTCTCCGAATACAATACAAGGCTAATCTTAGTCAATCATTTCGCGATCTCGGTTTTTTTTTTGTCTGCACTATAGTAACAGTAGATAAAACAATTTAAATAAAACATACAGTTTTTTCCTTTCTCTCTCTCTCTCTCTTTTGAATGTTTATTCACGTCTATTGTATAAGAATACGAAGAAGTTGTAGAAGAGATTAGTCATTGAACAATGTAAATAATCATAGACAAAAGAATGAAAGTAAATAGAACAAACGTACATAAGTAAAAAATGTTCTTTCGATATTGGTTCATGTTACTATATATGATGACCTTTATATTGATTTTACCATTAAATGGTGAACGAAAAACTTCATATCGAAGTCCATTTTCATGTTTTAAATGTACACATCATGATAAACCTCAAGAAATGAAAGAAGCAGCATGTATGAAAAAATTTGATTTAAGTAAATATACTCAAGAAGAATGTCAAAGTGAAAATGGTCCAGGTAAATGTCTTAAAGCATATGAAAAAACAGAAGCACGTACAAAAAAACAAATTGAAGATGATGAACGTTCTGTAACAATACGTAAATGTGTATCACAAGGTGAACTTGATTATTTAAAAAATATACGAAATATTGATACAAGTGATGGTTGTCATACAATACGTTCAACAAAAACAAAACATAAAGTTTATTGTTTTTGTTCAAATAATTTATGTAATAATACAATAAGAAATAATTCCATAACAATATTTATTCTTATTTTTTCTTTAATTATTGTTAGTGTTTTTTTATTTCGAAAATAAATACTTCAAAGTATATTCTAGAAAATTATCGAACATAAAATTTACATTTTCTATATTGAATAAATTCCATTAAAGAATTTTTTTTTTTTGTTGTTTGTGTTGATTTTTAAACAAAGACATTTTATAAATTTTGTACAAAAAAAAAAAAGAAAAGAAAGACGAAGCATAACTTCAATATGACATTTTTACGACAGGTATGATTATTAGTTAATTTAATTTATCATAATCAAAATTAATTTATTTAGGGACAAACCTATACAATTGAGGTACCATCTAAACAAAGAAAATCTCATGAGTATCAACCAGTAAACGATAATAATATAACAAAAAAATATTTAACAAATTCACAAAAATCAATGTTTTGTTTAAAATGGGAAAGTGGAGGTGTTGCAGAACAATATTATCAACGAAGTAGAAGTAAAAGTAAAAGTCAACATCATCTAAATATAGAGAAACATAGTCCATGGAAAGATTCAAGTACACTTCGTCATCATGAACAACAATCTGGATTGAATTCTAAACCAAAGCACATAGAAAAACCAAAGAAAACTCATCAAACATCATCAGTACCTATAGCATATCGTTACCCTTATGCTTATCCACCTATGTCGGTTGATGTTCAAATAGTATCTGAAAAATCAGGTAAACGACAAAACACTCATAGAACAATAACTATAGCAAAACCAAGAATAAAACAAAGTGATAGATCAATTAATTTAGTACGTGATACAAATAAATTAAAAATAGAACATCATTATGTTGATTCACCAGCTGAAGCACAAAGACTTATTGAGGATCTTCAACGAAAAGGCTTTGTCGAAACTGGAATTCATACACCAGCAATGTATTCTGATAAACATTGAAACTAATAAATCAATACCATTTTTTTTACATATGTTCTAACATGGTCATTTTATATAAAATAAAACATATAGATTTTATTTTAATAAATATATAAATATGCACAGCTATTCAAGATTCTATCTTTTTTTTTTAAATTTAATAAAAAATCTAAAACTCTATTACATATTATTATGATGCATTTGTAATGAATTCATCTGATTGCTAGATCTTTGACCAACAGTTTTATGTTTCTGTATATGTTGATTAACTCCATCAATAATACAATTTTTGTTTATTTTCTTATCAATTACCATATGATATAGGTGGTACATATAATCCTAATAAACTTTTTCTTTGTATCACATAAAAGAATTTAATGCTATCTATTTATATGTTATTATGAGAAATGTAAACTACTAGCAAAAAGCATTAATTGCGTATTTGATTTGATGGCGCTTGAGAGTAGCGTTATGCTCGACAAAGAAGTCTTGTTGACATTAAAGAAAAATATGTAGACATTTGATAATAGCTTGTGTTTTTTTCTAGATGAATTAAAAACTAATCATATTCCGAAATAATAAGATAATAAGGTAAATGTTTATCTGACTTCCAAAGATCAAACTCGATCTTCATTGTAGTTATTTTTAGTTAGTTAATAAATGAAAATAGGAGTAAGCCAATATAAAAATTTTAATAGTTGATTAAAATAGATCTACACAAAATGAAATAAACGGTCCAAAAAAAGTCAAGGATATTTAGAAATATTCGCACCCAATCTAAATTAAAATGAACTTTAAGTTCTCTTAAAAATAGTTAATCTTCATTGAAAAAATCGAAACTGAGATAAATGCATGGAACCATAGCTCTAGATAACTTTTTGTTTATTTGTCAGAACATGTGACGCTGCTATGCTTAACACAATCTGTTGTTTACATTAAGCTTTTTTTTATTATTATTATATAAAAACAGAACTTCTATAAATATGATTTTTGAAGGATATTAAAGGCACGTGATCTACTCTATTTTTGACCATTTCTCATGAGAGAAATACGTAAACGTTCAGAACCCTATAACTCCGAATAGGAAAGTTCAAAAAATGAAACAGCCGATTTTATATCTGAAACGATACTTCCAAGTATCTGTGATAAAAATATCATAATATTTTTTGAGACTACTAAGAAATAATATTTGTCAAGCATTTTAGGCGTCATCTTTCGTTAAATTAAATTTAATTCGTCAATTTAACTATCCAATTTTAGCCCAGTCGAAGAAGTGATTTATCTATAAGAATAATAATTATATAAGAATTTATGGAGAACCGTCAAGAACCTGATGAAGAAGTACAAGACAACAATCAAGATAATCCTAATGATGGTAAATTATTTGAAACAAATTTTTTTTGTTGTTGTTGTTGTTTTATTTATATTTATATTAACATAGGTAGTCTTCTGCGTCGTCTTAATTCATCAGTTTTACGTCTTCGTTCAACTACAAAATCACTTCAACGTGATCCAGAAACTTTTCGTACAGCATTCATACATTCAGCAGCTATTTTATTTGTTTTAGTATGTGGTGCATGTGCTTTACTTGCATATCGCATATTAGAACCATTTCTTCGTAGTATATTATGGTCAATATTAGCTGGTGCATTTTTATTTCCTTTTAAAAATCATTTAACATTAAAAACACGATATTTTTTACGTCAATTAGATACAGATTCACATTTATTATTTTATGGTTTACTTATATTATTACCATTACGAACAATAGATAGAACTATTGATTCAATTTTTCCATTTATTAAAAAAAAATGGAAAGAATTATTAATAATTTTTATTTTTTTATTATCAATTGAATGGATTCAAAGTGGTGTTGTTTATCATTGGTTAATAACAATTGGATATGATATTTTTGATAAACTTGGATTATTTGTACATGTATTTGATTCATTATGGATAACAACAATTGTTATTGCTTATTTAATAGCTGTTTTAACTATTTATGATAGTTCACCATTGATTAGAATTTTATTAAATCTATTAGCTATACCAATTTGGTTTATTTTATTAATTTATCTTTCACAATTTCTTCCAATTAATTATCGATTAATTGTAGTTATTTTAGCAATTATTTTAACAGTTGTTGGTTTTATTGTAGATTTTAGAGAAAGAATTGAACAAAATATTGTTCGTAAGTTTAATTTTATATTTTATTTAAATAAAAATAATAGTATTCGAAATAACTAAATACATTATATTAGAAGATATTACTTTTTTTCTCACTATCAATAACATATTATAAAGAAAGAATGATTCAAAGTAATAATATGTTCATTTCTTTTACAGATGTATTCAAAAGCCTAAATCTGAACTCTCCTCCTATAACTTTTTTTTTTTGTTAGTTATGCCATTAATATTAATTCGCCATAGCATATCAACATATTTTCTATTTCAAACTTGTATAATTTAAAGTTTTGACAACAATTACTACAAATCAACTCCATACATTTATGTATTCGATAATTATATTGTTTAAGGAGAAAAGGATTAATTTTACTATTAAAATTGTAGTAGTCAATACTGAAATGATCGTTACTGAATAAACTTTAAGCTTACACTTTCATAAAAGATATCATTCTCAAATGAAAAAAGTGTTGTGCATCCTAACATACTAGCACTGCTATTAATATCAATGTCTCAGCGAACACTGACACTAGTATACTGAGTAGTCTAGTAGATCCTGCGTTGATGTTTGATTCTTTATCGTCGGAATGATAATTTCTTTTTTTTTTTTTTAAGAATCAGATCCTTCTGATGATAATGAACGCCGTAAATCAATCTTCACTGATTTAATCAATACATATAATCGAATGCGAGCATATTATCATGTTGGACCAGAACAATCGTCATTACCTGTTGCATCAACTTCTTCAGCATCTTCTACACCTTATTTTACATTTGTACTCTGGTCATTAGTAGCTATTAAAGTTTATCAATTTTATTGGTATCTTGGACGAATATTAATTTTTGTTATTATTTATAAAGTTATTAAAAAAATTCTAATTGAAACATATATATATTTAATGAAACAAGAAAGTGTACAATATATAATTCAACGAATAATTGATTATTTGCAAACTCGGTAAGAAAATATTTTATTTTTTTTTTGTCTAAAAAAATGTTTTTTCTTTTTTATAATTTAGACGTGATGTATTAACCCCATCACCGTTAAATGGTCTTATTCGTTTTCTTATTAAAGGCGATAAAAAGTTTAATCATGGTTTACAAACATCTATTGATTATTTGGTTAGTGCAATTATGATTGTTACATTACTCATAACAGTTCTTTTTGGTACAATACTTCTTATTATACAGGTTTTATTTGATTTTGAAAACTTTTTTTTTTGTTTTGTTAAATCTAATTTTAGATTCAACATGAAAGTATACATATGATTAAATTAACAAGTAATCTTATTAATGAAACAATTATACTTCAACCATCATTTCAACATATGTTACCTGATAAAGAACATATGGGTAAATTAATGGATACAGCTGTTAATAATTTTTATTCTGTTGGAAGAACTTGGATTGCAAAACAGGTTAGAAGAAATAAATAAATAAATAAATATATATATAATTATTTTTGCAACTCATTATTCATTCTTTCGATAGCCTAAAAAAGAGACTTTCCCGTAAATAGACCAAAATAAGTTTTCGGACTCAGTCCGAAAGCCTAGTTTGATTGGGTATAAGAAAATATCATCAATAAAAAGTCTTCTACTTATGAAAAACTCTATTATCAAATTTCGATATTTTCTCATTGATATATTTCTAATTTTTAGGTCAATGCATTAAGTCCAGATAGTTCAACAAATACAAAATTAGAAAAAGATGTTCTACAATTATGGGATCATTTTTATGAATATATGTCTAATACATCAACATTATTATTACCAGATAAAAATCGTAGTACAATAATATATTCACCAAAAAATCATTCATTACGAATACCAAATCTTGATTTTCATTTAAATGATTTATATCGTTTAGTTCATAATAATTTAGATTTTTTACGTAATGTTCTTGATTCAGTTTGGAAAAATACAACACTTCTTTTAACATTATTATCAACAATTATTTCTTTACTTTTTACTGGAGGTTTTGCATTACTTAATTTTCTTGTTTCATTTATTGTTTTTGTCACTTTACTTTTCTATCTTCTTTCTCATTCGGATGAACCTATATATCGACCAACTGAATGGTTAAATAATACATTATCTGTTGGTGGAAAAGGTTTAGGTAAAGCAGTTAATGATGCAGTTACAAGTGTTTTTGTTGCTTCATTGAAAATTGCTGTTTTTTATGGTCTTTATACGTATGTATTACATACGATAGTTGGTTCAAATCTTGTTTTTTTACCAGCTGTTATTGCATCCGTATGTGCTGTTACTTTAAAATCTTATTGGGCAGCATTACCTGGTTGTCTTGATGTATGGCTTGTACAACAACGACCAATAGGTGCTTTAATTTTATTACTTGGTCAAATTGCACCAACCTATGTTGTTGATACAACCATATATAGTGATGTTAAAGGAGGTGGACATCAAGTAATATTCGATAAAGAGTGTGCTTTTGTTTTATGAAGTTAAAATTTTCTTTTTTTTGTTTTTGTATAGTATTTAACAGCATTGGCTATTGCTGGAGGTGTTTATTATCGAGGAATCGAAGGAGCTTTAATAGGTCCAATTGTACTATGTTGTTTATTGGTTGGTGTAAGATTATATAATGAAACAATGGCTACAACATTATCTTCAAATCATGAACAAGAAACTGTGACATCTTCATTAAGTCATCCAATACAACCTCTAGTTCGTGCTCACAGTGTACAACAATAAATACATAATAAATTTCATTGCATGGATAATATATATTGTTTGTTTTTTGTAGTATTAAAATTATATGTCATTATTTATTTTTTTCTAATCAAGAATTAGAGATTCTTTTTTTAGAGTATTTCAATGATTCAATAAAAATATTCAGAATTAATGTAGTGTATACATTAGTTTTTTCATAGATACATTTGTAAAGTGATATGCTTTGTCAACATGACATGTAAAGAATAGTCTTAATTTGTTTTAATTTGAAGTACTTATGAGCACAGTTAAATGATAATCCAGAAAGAAAATAATGTTGCTCGTCATAGACAAAAAACGTCTTAGTCTTGATAAATCATGTAGTTGTGAAACTGTTTTATATCGTTTGATTGAATAACGACAATTTCAAAGGATAAAACATAAGATTTATTTAAAAAAAATTAATTAGCAAAGAATTGCTTTAAAACAAATGGCTGATATTCAATGATGAAAATAAAAAATCGAGTATATTTCTTCTCTGATTATTTTTTCTTGCATTTAGCTAAACCTGATACTTTGGAAGGACGATTCGCTCAGTAACATCAATCTTATGGCCCCTAATATATACAGGAAAAGTTCCAGCCAAATCCAATAAACAAGCTTTTCTCTTATGAATTATAGTGCGTGCCTTCATATGATGTATTCAGCGAACATAAAAAAAAATATTTTTATGGCAAAAGTTAAATTCACATTGTTGATTTGAAATCTTCAATTTGTAAATTTTCAGTTCATATAATATTCATTTCTAAATGTCTCATAGTTTATAAGAATCCAATTTGTGTACAATGGTATTTACAAGAGCCATTGGACAAGAGAAGATTAATTTTTACAACTACAATTCTCAGTTTGCCCCTGCATATTCAATGCCGAGTACAATATCTTTTTTGTGTATCTATTCTTTATGATCTCGTTATCTATATTTCTCTCTCCTTCTTGTTGATAATGCACACAGAGAGAGCGGCCTGAAGGCAGTCTCACCTGGTGACCAAACATATCTTTTACATTGTCCTTCTTTTTAAGAAAGAATAAGGTAAGACAAGTGCGTATTTATTCATAAACGGATTCGCGCAGCCTTTTCTAGAAGAAAGAAGAATTGCTACAATGTTTTTGAGAAATTTCAATAAAATCTATTAGCCTGGAGCAGTGAAATTTTTTTGATAGTGGTCTAAAAATGTTTGTTTTAGGGTTTCAAGATTTTCAATTTGAAGATCTAAATCAAAGTTTTCGTTGGCAACAGTCTGTTGGATAAAACCCCTTCTAACGTTCTAACTCAATCGAGAATAAGGTTTTATTGTAACTATGGCGCTAAAAACATCCATGGTATTGCCAGTGGAGCAGAATATTTCCAAATGAGATAAAAATAAATGCTAGACGCATTTTTGAAAAGTTCTAGCTACTCTTTTTTTTTCAGAAAGACTTCTTTCAACGTCCAAAATATTCGATTCTAGATCTCTGTCTTTCGGCGTCCATCATGGCTCGTACTTTACATACTTCGAACATTTACTTTAACCCAAAAGTTCTTTCATTTGAAATGCCATCAACTACTGCTGCCGTTCTTGAATTTCATCAAAAACTTCCATGCTATGCTCCAACTCGCCTCGTGGAAGCTCCACTTGCCGCTAAGCGTCTAGGCGTTCGTCATATCTGGGTAAAAGATGAGTCAAGTCGGTTCGGATTACCAGCTTACAAAATTCTTGGAGCATCCTGGGCCACATATCGCGAGTTGGAAACTCGTTTCGGTCCTTTTCAGCCATGGTCTAGTCTTGATGAATTGAAAGAGCAATTAAAGGATTTGGATATCACTCTAATCACCGCTACTGACGGAAATCATGGTCGAGCTGTCGCGTGCATGGCTCGATGGCTCGGATTCAAGGCACATGTGTTTGTTCCAGATGATATGGTACATGCTCGGAGAGAAGCGATTAAGAGCGAAGGAGCACATATCGAAATCGTCCATGGAACGTATGATGATGCTGTAGCTAAATTAGCTCAAATTTCGGGAGACAAGTATCTAGTCATCAGCGATACAGCATGGGAAGGCTACGAGCGAGTGCCTACTTGGATTGTCGAAGGATATGGAACGATATTTCAAGAAATCGATGAACAACTTAGAATACTCGGAGCAGAACAGCCACATTTGGTAGCGGTACAAATGGGTGTCGGTTCTCTTGCTGCCTCTGTTGTTCGTCACTATCGTTCGCCTAACCGTACAACACACATTGTCGGCGTGGAGCCAACACATGCTGCGTGTGTACTACGTTCATTAGAAGCAGGTGAACTTAAAGAAGTCCCAGGTCCACATACATCAATAATGGCTGGTCTCAATTGTGGAAAGCCATCTCCCCTTGCCTGGCCTCTTCTGCGCAATGGTCTGAGTGGATCAGTGGCCATTGAAGATAGTTTCGCAGAAGAAGCCATGCGTCTACTCGCTCAAGATGAAGTAATATCGGGAGAGTCTGGAGCGGCAGGCCTAGCTGGCCTTCTGGCTGTACTGACCGAGAAGAATGAGACAGATATGATACCTCAAAAATTCGGCATCGATCACAATAGTAGCGTTTTGATCATATCAACCGAAGGTGCAACGGATCCACAAGCGTATCTTCGAATTGTTGGTCGTATACCTAAGACATGATATTCAATGATTTGTTGAAGAGTTTTTTATTTGTAGACTTTTCTTTTTTGTCAGTCGAAAGAGCCTTTTCTTTCTCATCTTATCAAAAAATGATCTATGAAATCAACAATGTTTTTCACACAGAAAAGTAACGATGTAGATAACATCAGTAATATACCAGTGAGAATATCGAAGTCAACATTATAACTATTTTGCAATAGAAGTCAATTCTCAAGCCAGTTTCAACACATTTGAACTAACCACATTGTGAGAAACATACTTAAGAAAACGATAATGGCGTTGAAACTGTCAAAATTTCTGATCATGGTTTGAGCCACCTTTTTCTAGCTTCTAACCAGTTCCTTCAGAGAAAACGAATGTCGAGTTTCAGTTCTTTTGAAAACAAGTGTAAACCTTTTCTTTTCCAATGTGTTAGAACTGAAGAAACAAGTCCCATGCCTAGAATTGATATCGAACTGTCACATGAATAAATAAGAGCTTGTAAATTTTCGAAATAGATACTTCTAAGGTAGACCGTTCTGAGAAAGTGAAAATTAGTATTCTCTTTTCCTGCACCGATACCCACAGTCATCCATACCCACATCGACACCAACATGCACTCACATCTCACCCAAATAGTACAAAGCTCAAATATACTTATAATTTAGATGATGTATTAAATTTCATGATTGCAGTACTGTTCAAAAATTTTTACAATATTCCAGATTTTGCTTTCATTCGTACGAGTAACCCATAGGCAACAATCGAAGATCGAATATCGGTAAAGTATTCAATTTTTTCGTTCGGTATATAGGGGCAAAGACGTATCGATCGAGCTCCCACTGTTTCGCCTTGTACTTGGAATGAACCTGGTTGTTGACGACATTGGAGTGCCATCTGTACTTCGTAATTAGTACGATCTGCATGCGAATAAAATGAATTCGTTGAACTGTAAACAGGTAAACTTGAATAGACCATTGTTGGCGATGTGAAAATAAATTTTTGATTGGGAATATGTCCTTCTCGTATACCTAATATTGTGCCATCGATTAATTTATCACCAGGTAAATAGAAATGACGATGTGTAAGAATTGAACGTGCTGCTATTTTCGTTGTACCATGAAATGTTACAATCCATTTATTCCAAATATCATGTTCTTCTTTAAACATAGGATCAACATGAAGACCAAGACGAGTCCAACCGCGTGGTATAACATAATGGCTACCATCAGCTAAGAGAAGATTTTCCCATGTAGATGGATAACAATCCGTACAAAAACATCGATTATGTGTCTCGTCAAATAAGGATTTAGGCCAGTTTAATGAATCAACAAATTCTTTAGCGAGTTTCATTAAGGGACATTCTGATGGCTATAATGATTGAATCATTTTATCTTTAGTGGTCGATAAGAAAGCGGACATTTTATCGATCAAATGAGATAGTTCCTCCCTTCTTGTAAGCGATACACGATGGTAAGGTCGCGATTGCTCGCTCGATTTTTGTTGCGTATCCTGTACATCATAATCTTTATTCTCATTCTGAACAATATCATCATTGGCATAATTTATATTATCAACCAATGAATTTTGATTCACACCAGTGTTTTGTATTGCCGAAGAAACATCTAAACATCATGAATTATGAATAAAAAAACTAATTATTATGAAATCATTAATTAGAATTGTACGGAAGTTCGTGTAGACTTTTTTTATTCTAAACATATACATATAGAAAGATAGATAGAAATGATGTTCTTCGAGTTCTAGCATCGATATTATCCCTATTTTTAAAGGAACAATCTCTAAATCAGATATATCACTGCTCATTAACGGAAATGTTTTTTGTACCTTTGTTAAGGAACAATCTAACAGCATTCATTATTGTTTATTATATATGTATAGAGTGGCGCTCAAAATTATTCATAAACCCAACAAATATCAACGGTTGTTGACAAAATATAACTGAGTACTGATGCTCTCTGCACTGGAACTTGCAGCCTTATAGAGCATACCTTGATGGCTTAAGGCTCAAAATAGTAAAATTGTAGAGTTTTGATTTAGCTGAAAATTACTTATACAACTATCGCAAGAAGCAAAATGATCTCACCATCGAGTATTTTGCAAATACATCAACATGAGTAAATCATATAGACTTAAATTGGTTTTTAAAGATACGGCATGAAATTCTCTACAAGATTGGCTGATCAAAAATATATACTTTATTAATAAAAAATGTTTTCCTATAAATAAACATTGTTTCTTCCGTCGATGCATACGTACATGTTCTTCGAGAATGAATTCAATGAGAACGCATTTTCCTTCAGAATAAACTGGCTCAAGTGCGTTCTGCTATTTTGTAGAACGAGTTCAGACGCGTTTTTTCTCTGAACGTATTCGAACCTACTTTTTAAGAACGAGATCGCGACCATATTTTTTTCATCAGCATCTTTTCATTGCTAGTCGCAATTCAGTTCTACTCAAACGACGTATTAATTGAAACTCAAAATGTAACTTGTGTGAAGATTTAGTTATTCTTTTTGAGAATTGACTTTTCTATCAAAAAAGGTCCCTTAAATATGCAGCTGTTTAAGATCATATATAAAAGAATACTCGGCATGGCGTGTCTCTAAGCAGCTCTATAGAACAAAGTGACGAAAGACGTTTCATGTGAGCACTTTTTGTATTCAGATGATAAAATATCGAATCAGTATATGTGACTTGCTATGGCTCTAAGTGTTGAAAAATAAATTCATATGCAATTAAATATAGTCGAATAACAATATGTACACTCTCTTTAATTTCAAACAGCTGCTTCAGATTAAGTTTTGTAATGTTTCTTAAACGCATAGCAGAAATATTATTTTTCAATGGGTCTGTAAAAACAAGCAACTTAACATCGTCAAGTTGTTGATCTTCTTTTCATTGAAAATAAAACTAAGAATCTTATGAACTCCAGTATGCGAAATAATGCGATATGAACATCGAATGCTCACATGTATTATGTGGTTCTTCTGTGTTACGTGAATATGTTTTTATAATTAAACCTTGTTAAATCTTACTTTCAATGGCGGTTTGAATGAACATCTGGCATCTCATGAATTTTCAACTACGTGGATGCAAGATAGATACAATAATTACATATTACATTTTTTGTACTTGATGGCAATACTTTTTTATGTCCTCTCTAAAAGCTATTAGGATGACCAATTTTATTTTTCATAAAAACACGAAATAGAGAATATCTTGACTAGGATTTTTTTGTTAACTACTCGATTTAACAACATAAAGAAAACAGAGAAAAATAGGGACGAACTTTAGCTTATTATTTTTAGATATCCATTAATAACTGCGATTATCATAATGTATTGAGTGCATGTTTTAAAAGTTCATCTGCAGCGATTGCTATGAAGTTATAAAATGAGCACTGTGATACAAATTTTGCGTCGACCATTTCAAAGTTGCCTTTACATAAATTCTTATTTGTTTATTCAATATTTTCGGTAGTAAAGACATGTCTTAAAGATCAATAATCTGCATACATTTTTACTTCGATTTTATAGGTGAATGTGGGTGTGTGAGTCTTCTTTTAGTCCACACATCCACACCCACACCCTAATTTTTCTGTTAAATTTTTTTTTTTAAAATAACCTTTCTCATAAAAATCTTTTTTCTTGAAATAACGAACTCGAAATTCGGAAAAAAATCGATTTCAGATTCTGATTCTCCAGCCTTAATTACTTTGGTCACACTTTGTAAAAATTACTATTTTCAGAAAAAATTTTTTCCATGACGAAAAAATGAAACTCAGAACTTTGAGAAACCGATCACAGATTCGGTTTCCTCGATCTCGATTATTTTTGGTCAAATTTTGTAGAAGCGTATAATTTGTAAGAAGCTGTCTTTAATTCGATGGAATTGGAAAAGTTCTACTAACGTGAAGGGGGCACTTGTTGCGTTCTCTGTTCTTGGGAACGCGGATCGCCATGGCGTTTCCGTTTCTAGGAACGGAACACAAAAGTGACACCCCTAGTGACAAGCTACTCAATTTAATTTGCCATCACGCCGAGGTAAGCAAACAAAACAGAATACGACCACCATGACTAGTCCAAAGTGTTCACTACGCCTGCCTGATCTAGTGTAAAATGTCTCGCGACCTTCGCCATGACTAGTCAAATTTTGAACACATCATCGTATTGTTCCTACACGTGCCTGAGTAAAGTCTACCAAATCCGAACGGAATTTCCTTTTTCTGGCTTTCTTGAACAGGTGGAGGTACAGCTTCTTGTTTAACATGGTTAGTGATTGAATTGTGACGTCTCTTGTTGTCGTTATCCATTAGTGCTGCAATCGAAAACAATATGCATTACATAGACTTTTTCTTCGTTAGGAGTGCCGAAGAGGACTGTGAATGTGGAGGTGAGTTTCGGTTGGTGTGCAGATACTTATGTAAGAATTTGGATGTGGGTGTGGGTGGGTGTGGATGATGGAAAATTCGTACTCATCCCATATCCACACCCTTTAGGGAGAATTCCATAGAATCCTGGAGAATCTAGAGGATGCTTGGGAATTCTGAAGAACCACCGAAATCCTAAAGAACCATAGGGGACTCTTGAAACTCAGTGGAATTCGATGTTTAAGTAGTTCGTGATTTTTGTCTTGGATAGAATAAAACAGGAGTTGTTACCGATAGAAACTTAATAATCCGTATGAATTTTACATGTTATGCTTTCGTAAAATTGAAGTAACAGATTGTTGCTTCCGAGAACTACGGCCTTCAACCCGTCCGATTTTATGCAAGCAGCTAGAGAAACTATTTCGAATATTCAATGAAACAAAGTTTTGAATGAACTTCTACCTATGGTTTTTTTCTTCGAAATCAGTGCGTGTGTGGGCCATATAGGTCTGTTGATGACGTTTCGAGTACTCCATCCAATCTTAGAAATTCTTCTAACAAAGTGTTCATCAAAGTCAAATAATGAAAACCAGCCATACCGAGTCAATTCTACCGATGGTTTCTTCCAAATTACTCGAGTATTGTGTAAGTAAGAAGAGCGCATTGTTTGTCAACTATTTTTTTCTAGCTTTCACATCATGGCAACATTTCGATCCCTTTTCGCCTTCTTTTTCTTTCATTTTGAATTCCTTTCATCTAAATACTCTTTGTTGAAGGAATTCACATAGCAAGAGTAAAAAATAAAAGGTAAACAGCAGAAGACAATTGCTTCTAAATAAGAAAAAGAATCATATTTGCGACTGTGGCTGTGCGTGGATGGGGTGTGTGGGTGAGTGCGGGCATGGGTGGATGTCTGGGTGTGCGAGTGCGGATGCTCAGTGTAGGTGTACCTATGCATGACGACTCGTATGCATTTTCATATGTTGAAGTTGTCCCCACATGTACAATCACATTCGCATCGATATCCACACCCATACCCACACTCACCCCTCAAGCTTGCGAAACATGATGAATAAAAATAAAATGAGAATCGTATATGATGGAGAGAGATATGAAAGATGTGTACGTGTTATCAGATATTTTGTCTGTCAACCTTCATACAAACCAGTGTGTTCTCCCTCTTTGCATTCGCTCAAGCACACAGTTTTACCTTTTTTCTAGTTTGAAACAACGTTTCTCAGGTATGTGCGCAAACATAAGGTATATATAACAAAAGTAATAAATGATGAAGGCTACAGTGAGAGATACTCATTCGCAAGCAAACATGTCAGCTAGTGCATTATGTTTAATTTCATAATTTTACATGTGCTGCATCAAAATTCTTATTTTTTGTAACATGCGTGATGCTCTAGTATTAGAGTTAAAGCATCGATTTCGACCTATAGTTGATCCCGAGATATTGGTAAGAATAGTCATTATGGAAGAATTAATTTCGAATACTTTTCTATACACTATCTAACATTTATTCTTCAACAGTAACTTTCTGAAAGAATTCATATATTCTATCGAAGTAATAGCGGTCAACGGAACTGTAATCTCAGAAGAGATAGCTGAGTAAGTTATAGCTTCTTCACATAATAGTGTCGAATTTAGTTCAGATTAACTGAATATCCAATAACTATCAATTAATTGATCACATTATACTCAAACTTGCATTTATAGTTAATTTTTCATTTTATAGACATACATGTCATCTTTTATGAACACCCAAAAAAAGTTATTGAGAGAAATTAAACATTTCATTTTTTTAACACTTTACATCGTTGAAATTTTATTCATTTGATACTTAGTTTAATAACTAATAAAATAGATCTATAGAATACTATCCTCTGAATTGAACGAATTTTGAGTATATAATCATAGAAAAACCTATCGGGCGTAAACATGGTAAATGTAAATAAGGTCCTCAGTCTAAGTAAGGGGCAAATAATTACTTCGTCGTACTGAGTTTTTAAATTCCCACTCTCATTTGTGTATTAATCAAATATAAATTATACTTGCAAAAATAATCTCGAAATAGAGCAAATCAGTCCAATCCTCTAAGAATAAGTATTCAATGAAGAAGTAGGAGAAGCTTGTGACTTCAGAGCAGACATTACCTCGGTTCAAGGCAGAACACAGATGGCGCTTTACAAAAGCTGAAGATTATAATTCCAGCTATGGAAAAGTTGAGCAAAGTGTTGGATGAAGCTCGTCGAGTTCCATTTGGAATAAGGATGAGTTTTCAAACTAGATCGTGACTAAATTCGTGGCGGAATTACTTTGAGAGTACGTGAATCTCATAAAGAAAATTTGATTTTTAAGACAATCAATTAAAGCTATGGCGAACCTAATTAAACCAGTCGATAGAGCTCATTTAGTTCTACTCGAAACAATAACAGGAGTTTTGAAAGAAGTTCTTCGGCGAGTTTGAGGTAGAAAAACTTGAATCTAATGATAAATTTACCAAAATCTCGGTTCAGAGTTTTCAAAATTCGAACCGAAAAAGAAATTTTTATAAATGTTAAAGCTCTATTGGATATTGATTGAGTTCCATAGATTCCCAGGATTGCAGAAATTGAGTCGAAACAGCACTTTCCAAAAATCTCAAGAATTTCATGCCATGTCTTTTAATATCGGAAGTTATCTTGTTCCATGATGCTAAACATGTTCGGAACTGATTGAGCAAGCCAAACTAGCACTGAGATAATTCTATTAATTTCGTACCAGAATTATTTATCTGTCCTATAAGGAATTCAAGTTATATTTCATCTAATTTATTTGCAGTACAGAGAACTTATTCAATTAGTGTCAAAGTAATTATAAAGCAAGATTCATAAGAAAACACAAAATAACATATGAGATAAAGAAGATATGAACAAAATTATTGTTAGGAGTGTTGAGTCATATACAAATCTTTGTTTCGAGAATCTTGAGATAGATATTTGTGCTTTTCCTGATCTGCTTACGAATAACTTTATTCAAATGTTTCAGTACTCATCAGATTAATTTCTTCAGTGTAAGGTTTACAACAGCAACAGTTATAACTATATATGAGTCTTCTTTTATATAAATTGCAGACTTTCAACGTGATGACGTTACGATCCTAAAAGCATCATGTTCTCTTTTTCTTTTCTCTCTCTAATACTGGTACAGTATAAATATAATAAATTGGACAGGATGACAACTATCAGTTATCCTTGTTTTTCGTACCCGTATTAGAAACAGAAGAAAAAAAAGAGCATTAGCCTTTTAGGATCATAAGATCATTGCTTTTAAGTTGTGCAATAAAAAAAAAAACAAAGAACCATATCTGTTGTTGTAGTGTTGACGCAAAGAAGGTTATTTAATGATTATCGAAACGTCTGAATAAAATTATTTGTCAATAAAACAGTATTAGAAGATTAGCTTAGCAGAATAAACATTAGAGAACGCACAAAAAAAAAAATAAAAGAAATTTATTCTTTTAAAATAAATAGTATCACTGAATACTATAGGTGTACAACGTCAAAATGTATACGTGAATAGTAAAGCTATTCATGTGAATACTACATTAATTACAATATCACTTACCAGCTGATTTCGGGTATGAAAAGTATTCATATCGGAGTATCGTAAACAAAGTTCTAAATAACGTTGGTAAGATTCTACGATTATGTTTAATAATGTTGTAATAATTGTAAGATAATCTTTCAATGCACAAGTTTGATTAATTTATTTGTTACTTCTCCAAAATTACGTGTATATGAATCAACGTGATCTTTTATAAATGAAAATGTTTTTTTGTTTTGTCGCTTATGGAACTCTTAAGTTAAGGGTCGTCAGATGCATTTACAGTATTTTGTTCTATTTCCGACTTTGAACAAATGTACGGTTCATTCAGAAAATTTCACACAGAACCAATGAAATGAAAATAAATTAAAAAACTACATAGAAAAATAGAAACAGAAGCGATGAAACACATACAGCACTATTTTTCTTCTAATTTCAGAACATTATCAGTAATTTTTTAAGAAGTTTTTTTTCAGTTGTTCATTAACTATATTCAGCTAAAGTATTTAGTGCATACGGATATGTCAGGGTAGGTAGAAAAACTAGGTTGAAAAAATTTTGAATTATGAGTGAATGTACTTGTAGTAGTCCGGAAGAAGCCATTGCAAGACTAGCTCAGCAAGGTGGGAAAGTCGATGAAGATACAATCGCACAGCTTTACGATCAATTGAAACCAATCGAGCCCTCATTTTTGTGCAAAGATGGTGGTGAATGGGAAGGTGGTGTCTTCGATACTGGTCACTCTGGTATTGCAGTAGTGAAGAACATTAATTGGGCAGGCAAAACATTTAAGTCAGAAAATGATGTGGATTCAGCAATGGTATATGACAAGGATGGCAACCGTGTTTGGTGTGAACAATATGGTCATGCTCGAGTAAGTTTTCTTTGCATTAACTCAAAATGATTTTCTATCACTAGTCGAATTCTATAACTAGCTGCGTGAAGTTAAATTTCGTGGTAAGGTATCAACCGCAATGATATGCGATACGATCCCTATCATCGACTATTTTCGATACGTCAACGACAATATGGTGGCAGGAGTCATGGATAACAAGTTGGATTATGGAAAAGAAGATAGTACATTGTACTTTTTCCTCACACACGGTGTCAATATGTCGAAAAAATAAGCAAATATCGGTTGATGAAAACGGTTGAAAAATTAGAACTGAGCAAATCATTGTATCTCGCTTAATTCTTGTTCTTTTCTAGCATCATAATGTGTTCCCAAGCATTTATTCTTAATAATCATAAAGTACCCTCACTGAAAAATATGTGAAAATAATAGAAGTGTCCAACACAATTGTTACACAAAATAGTGTGAACAATTTGAGATATTGAACTAACTGTCTTAGTTTCTTAGTATGATTATCTTAAACGATGAGGATGAGAGTTACCATCCTCAACACATATTTCTATCCTATCATGCATCATCAAGTAGTTTAACGATAAGGAAATCTATTAAATAAACTTATCAATACGAAGTCTATTTGACACCTTGATCATTTTGCATTGCACCATAATCATGTTACACTACACATCGTGAAAATGTCTTATCTAACGATTTCAGAAATAAATCCTTAGATCTTTTCAATTACTGGTTCAATGTTTTTCTGTGCGAACTAGCCCATAGTTCTTTACTTGTGTGGTCGAGGAAGTCTCAGCAAAGTCAAAGGAACTAATCACAAACTTTAAAGAAAACAACAATAGACTCACTTTAATATCAGGTATGAACCAAAAACTTTAAACGAATG